CCCCGGGTGTTGGGGGCTGAGTCACTCGTCACTCCGGCTCCGCAGCCTCACCTGGGCGGTTCGTCCGTCCTCCCGGTTGCTCTCACCCCACCCTCGTTCCCTTCTCTCTCTCTTTCTTCCCCCCCTCGGAGGGATCCTGAGCATTTCTGAGGAGGCAGAGCGGCGCTGGCCCCCGGGTGTCGTTAGACTTGGCGACTTGATGGATTTCTTGGTGGTTTCTCCCGCTTGTTTGTTGCTGCTTCCGTAGAGACACCCCCACTCCCCGACTTCAGAAAGGGAAGGAAGGCTGTGTGTTTAGTGGTGGACAAGGCAGCGGGTTACAGCGGGGTCCACGTAGGAAAAGAACTTGGGGCCGGGCTGCCTGTACCTTTCTTTACAGATCCCTCTGCATTATAGATAGGGAAGACTCCAGCAGAAAAATAAGACCAAGGGAAGGGTCCGGGCTCAGTGTCCATAGAGCAGATTTGTCCTTTCTGAGTGTCTTTTGCCACCTAAAGTGAGGGATGTGGCATTTGCATAGGAGTTCGCATTTTTAGAAGCCCTTGGGTTGTTTCAGGTGACAGTGCCATCTTGTGAAGAGGGGGAAAGTGAATGCACCAGAATGCACAAGTTTAGTGGCGTTCCTGGGCAGTGGTGGCTCGTATGTGTTATACGTGACTGCCCCGGGTATTAAATCCATACCACGTTATTTAAAAAAGCTGCTGTTCATTGCATGCCGAGTCCAGGTTGTTGTTGGTTCAAGCAAATAATCACGCCTTTGTAACTACAAAAGGAGCAGTGGTAGCTGGACCGTGATTGGTACAAACCCAGAGCTCAGCCCTGACTTGGGGGTAACTCCTTCAATTCTTTGTGTTCACTGTTCCAGTGCCAGATTTGGGGGGGAGGATAACAAAGACACCATCTCTACCCTACTACATCCTTTCATCTTAACACAGGGTGTCATTTTATCTCAATCAACAGCATAATGGAGTTTTGCTTCCTCTGTGTGACTGATTTTTTTTTTCTCACTATTTTGACTTTTTACCAATTGAGAAGCAACATTTTCAGCCTCTGGAATAGCTACTAGCTTGCTAGGTGACATAAAATAATTACATGAGATGGGTTTTGTGTGTGATTTCCCGAAAATATTGTTTAATCTTTGACATGACATTTTTGTTTTGTTTCTAGTGCTTCAGTACCTGTATTATGTGATACTCAGTGTGTTCTACTCCCTCCTGGATTATTGCAGTACATGTTTTATATAGTAGTAATCTTTAATATGTACTCACTATATATTCACTTTAATATTCACTATATAGTGATAATGAGAGTTTACTGAGCACAGAAAAAGTGGATTCCTTTCTCACCTTGATGCCACAGATTAAATGATTTTTAACAGTAAAATCCAAATAGTCTGGTCTTCATTGCTTAATGTCTGTTAAATATTTTCAAAGACAAGCCTCAGTGTTGTGCTTTCTGGTATTCACTGACTACCTAGTGACTCACACTTGAAGTTTAGAATGGGGAGAAAGGGACCATGCAGATGAGCCGGGAAGATATACGACTGTACATTCAGTTGCAGTTCAGTTAGCCTTAATATCAAGAGTTAATATATCTCTCTCCCCCAAGACTTGTTTAGGAAATAGTCTTAAGGACTTTTGCTAGGGCTCTACCACTAAATTAAAAACCTGTGTGTGACATTTCTGAATGTAAACTGGAACCCCATGTACATTTACTCCATCTACCAATTTGCAGACTTGACATTTTCTTAAATTATCATATTAATTCAGTTCATTCGCTCCTGCCTTAATTGTGCATCTCCATGTACACCATTTTACTTTAGAGCTGTATTGATGTTTGTTTCCCTGGTACATTAAAGGAGAGGGCTCTTGTTTTCTATAAAACCTGGCAGCACCCCTCTCAGTAATGAGACACTGTGTAATGAAATTTAATGGGTTTCTATGCACTCTTCTATGTTCCTTTGGCACATTATCGACCAGAAGATCTTTTACTGGGTGCTGACTTTGTATTTGTCCTAACTAATGAAATTCTGATATATAAGGGAAATAGGTGGTTGGTTATGGATCTGTGGAATAATTGAATCTTTTTGTCTCTGGATTGGCTGGAAGAATTATATACTATATCATTAAAGACTACTGCACATGTAAATTAAAAAGGGAGACAACATTACAACACATTACTATTCAGAGTTATGTTTAATTCATTTTGACACAAAGATGAACAAGGCTCTGCAGTGTACACTTTGTTACGGAAATTAATGAGAGGTGTATCTCAGTGCCACTGAGAGAAGGATCCCTTCCCATTTGAAATTACAATTGAGAATTTGATTTCCCCTTCTGAGTAGTATTATATGTACATATACTTTTTATAATCTGTTCATCGATTGTCAATGTTCTTTCTTCTGTGTGGATAAATAGTAGCCTACTTACTGAAGAGAATTATGAACTGGTTATGCCAGCATTCCATTAAGACTTATCATAACTGGGTAACTATTCCTGCCTTTGAACAAGTGATGTGCTGGAGATAGGGTTTGAGCTAGGAATAGAGTGAATGGGTGAACAGGGCAGTGGGTTTGACCCCTGAACTGGAAAAGCCTGTGGCATTCTGTTTTGTTTGCTTGAGATAAGGTCTCACACTGTGGCCCAGCTTGTCCTGTTGGGGAAGTATCAGACATGCATCACCCACCGTGCCTGGCTGAAATAGGTAACTGCTAGAGTTATTTAAACACTGTAATTTTTACATGAGATCTTCATTAAAGACAGATTTCAGGTCTTTCTATGACCCAGTGCTGTGTCAGGAATTGTGGATGCTATGCTTGTTCAGTTCTCATGAAGCCTGTGCTAGAAGGAAGCTCTGTGATCATCACCTTTGTGCTGATGGGGAAACTGAGTGCAGAGGGCCTGAGTGAGTTGCTGAGGATCAAATTTGTACTAAGTGGCAGAAGTGGGAGCTCACCCTTGTAAGTGTAGTCATTGCTACATTTTTCTACATCACATGGCACACACAGCTTCATTTGATAGTCTT